TTTATATTTATTAGCATATTCAATTTCTAAATTTGTTCCTCGGTGGTTTTGCCAATTAACAAAAGCTGTTGCTTTCTTTTCTACAGCCGGCGGTTTTGCCGGTAGTTGCAAAAAAACCGGCGGTATACTGGCGGTGAACCGCCGGTATTTACCGATAGTAACAAAACAACTGGCGGTATATCGGTAGAAACAGGGTACGAATCTACTGATCCTCAGTCTTGCAGATCTAAGATTAATGTAAATTATCATACACCGCAAATTGGTTTAGTGAATCTATTTAATAAAAAGTCCTCTTCTTTTTTTATTTGGATATCGAAAAAAATTTTTTTTTCGTGAAATTGAACTGTTTTCGAGAAGAATTTAAATAATGGTTGCACTTCACTCAAAAACAGCTTTCGATATATAAATAAAAAAATAAGAGGGTTACTAATAAATAGATTGACTAAACCAACTTGCACCCTATGATAATTTACATTTCTTCTTAGATTTGTAAGACTTGGAATCGTAGATTCTATTAGCAATTGTTGCTTCATCTTCGTTTCTTCGTTTTCTTAAGTCGATCGTTTTCGGATTGATCTAAATAAGAGAAAAAAAATAATTTGCATGAAAAGCTACTTACTTTTCTATTTGTTGTTAATATTGCTCTAAACCAACAAAAAATTATTTTATAAGTGAGTATTTACTTTTCATTGCGATCTTAAAATCGATCTAAATGAAAGAAACAAAATGTTTACATAAATGCTTACTTTACCTCTTGAAGTTGAGATTACTCTAAATAAAAAAAATATTAAAAGTTCTGTAATAAATACTTCGCATTATTATGTTGAGAATTATCTAAATTAAAGAAACAAAAATAGTCATCTATATAGATGAATAGATTTGTATTTTGGTAGTGTTTTGACCGTCGGTATACCGCCGGTGTACCGGCGGTTTCTTCAAGTACCGCGGTATACCGGCGGTAGTTCAAATAAATGTGCGACATGGGTTCTTTTAGTGGTCTTGGATAACAATAAATCACCGGCAGAATATGAACGTCGTCGACGAGGAACAAATGGTAAATAAATAACGATCAATTTCTATTTATGAATTTTTTTTCTTTTTAGAAGAAGTTACTTCAAATGAAAATTCGCCACGTATTGAAGAAGTATATGATTCAATAGATTCCATTGTATAAATTTTCTTTTTTTTTGTCTTATATATATATATATCTTATTTGTTTGTCTTATTTATTTAATAAATTAAAAAATATTTCTTTTAATAGATGAAATATATTGACTTATTTATTTGATGTTCTTATATCAAATCGATGTATCTTTATCAACTTGATGATAAAGAAAATATCAAAAAGATATATATCTCGTTGGTGATGATCAAATGAATTGTTAATCGTGTGTCGAAGAGAACACATTCGCGGGATATCTTTTTATGTATTATAACAAATTTTCATTCTTTTTTTTTCTTCCAACCATTTCTCATCGTTTTTTTTTTTATAATTTTTTCTTCTATACAGACGTATACATATATATATAATAGGCAATTGAAGAAAACATTTTCTTGCCCGATTTATTATTCACATAATATTTCGCAACACAAGTAGGCATGTACTGAGCTTTTTTTTCGTTATTTTCGAGTTTTTTCGTATTAAAGCTTAAGCTGCAAAATAAAAAGCTGAATCATGTAATCTAACCTATCAAAAGATAGAGAAAATTTCACTCTATCAGATGAGACATACCTCATCTCTGTGCAGCAATTCTTTTGGTTTTTATGAGAACTTTACTAACCGAGCCTGACCGAGCCTAGGCTCGGGGCTCGGGCTCGGTCAGGCTCGGTCGAGACATTTTTTTGCACTGCAAATAAAAAGTACAATAATTGCAACACAGAACTCTGGAACGTCTTATTCTGTAGAGAAATGTTTTGTCTATCTTTTGATAGGTTAGGCCACATGATTCAACCTTTCATTTCAGAGCTCAAGGCTGTAATATAAAAGTGTTGAAAAATAACAAAAAAAAGCTCGGTACATGCCTAAACACAAGTTTCAATCATCGATATCAATATTCATTTCCATTGAATTAAGATGCTTGGTGTTTCTAAATCAGTATTCGTGTATTCCATCATTAACTGCATTACAGTTGTTGCACTTGTCTCTATAAGAGAATTGCCAACTGATGATATCATTGTTAATATCAATAAAGGTTATGCTCTTCAACGTATCGGTACTTACTCAACGAATATGGTAGAAGAAGTTGTGGACACATTTTTATCACTTGATAATTTTTGTGCCGTACAAACAACAAACGCTGTTTGTAAATATACTTCATCATCGCCACCGACAAACATTATTGAACTTGCCACTATAATAACATCTGATCATATAAGAGACATATCATTTAGTTACGACAGAGATAACGTGTCACAATTGATTGCTAAAGATTTAAACCGTGTTCTTGTACAACATAAGTCAGATGAATTTCTTCGAGATACTGAATAAAATGTTCATTTTATTAATAACAAATTTTATTAGAACAATAATGCCGCCAAATTATCACCAGCAACAACTTCTATTAATGCCGTTGATAATAATAATAATAATAATAATATACTACAGTTTCGTCCAACATCAGTAGATATGATTATTAAATAAATTAACAACAACAGAATAAGTTTTGAATATTTGTCACTTGTTGATTTAAAATTGTTTTTAACAATTGTATTTTCCAATCTTGATAATTCGTATAAAATTAATGATGTTGAAGATTCTCTAAATGCTTTTTCTCAAATAGTCGTTGGACAATCG